TACGGCACCACATCAAGGACCCTCTTCCTTTTCAGTACACCATCCCTCTTCTTCAGTAAAGGGGCTTTGTGAATTCCTGATGACCTTTGGGTCATGGTCTCTCCAAACTTCCACTGATCCTCGCACAGTCCACAGCTCAGTAGAACTTGCCAGAGTCTGCGTCCTGTTACCACAGCATTGGATAATCTGCAGCCACCTCCCCACCACGATGAGGTGACACAGAACTACGGTGGAAAGTCACAATGAAAACCCAACTGGAACAATGATTATTCCTACCTGGGCACCTGGGCTTAGCCTCTACTCCCTGGAATCACAAGGATTTTCCACTTGAAGCACTCTAGTAAGTGGGTGAACCTGACACATCCTCTATCTGACACTAGCTGTGTGACCTACTCTGCCTCACAGGTGACTGTGAAGTTCAAATGACGTAATGTCTGTAAAATACATAGTATATTCAAAAGCACCATAGAAATATCAGTTATTATTTAGGAAGCTAACCTTTCTCAACAGTGAACCCATCCATCACTCCAAGTAGTCCTTTCACCACTGATGCCAATTTCTACTTATTTCAAATCAAGCTCCATTTTACTGTGACAGCTAAAGTTTGTGATTTTAGTGGCCTAAGAAGCTGGGTTTTAAACAGTTTCAACTCGGCCACTTCAAATTCCACATGAAATGACTGACAGATGTAGTTTCGTGAGCTGCACAACTTTGGGAAGGGTAGAAGGGATTCTGAATGAAGCAAGGACAGCCTGGTCCGAGGCTGGCATGCCAACAGATGATTCTAAAAAATGATTCATGGACTAGGAACTCTCCACAGCCATGTGGCCCATCAACCTCCATCACTACTTACCCCATGGCTTCTCGTATTGTCTGCAAAAATCATCTTAGAGCAGTCATTTCAATGCTGCAACTTGACCCTCATTTTAACTCCAGGAAAATTTCCCTGAGAAGGGGCTTTATGGAATGTCCCATGGGATTTTAATGTCTGGTTTCAAAGAAATGCAGGCCCATCAACTTATCTGCTACAAGTGGAAATATGCCTTAATGGTGTTCTGCTATTTTGTGTGTGCTGATGGTGGGGGAGGGCTGGAATCACAAGCCTGGCTCAAGCTTCTGGTATAAAAGACAATAAAAAAACATTTCAAAAAATTATGCTTCTAAATAGCCCACACTTACATATCAGTGCCTTAAGCTTTCATTGTAACTTGTGTCTGTCTATAGGCATGCAGACGATAAATGGACATTCATTTAGCACATTAACATATAATACATGTATTAAGTCATTTGGTCCTCTTAATAACCTTAAGGGGTAGGTTACTATGCCCATTTCTCAGCTTGGGAAACTGAGGCCCCAATTGGTTAAGTGACTTGCCCATGGTCACAGAGCTTACTTGTATCAAATCTGGGATTTAGCCTCAGGTCTTCCATTCTACCTCTTCTGCCTTTCAACACACAGGCCCAGACCTCACTGGTCAAGTCATCAATGAAACAAGTTTAGGGATCTTTGAGTGTGAGAACACCATCAGGCGAGCCGGTTTTTTTTCACCCTGGGGTGGGGCAGTTTAATTAGCCAAAACATCAGATGGTCACAAGGTCAATCAACAAGCATCTAGGAGGCCCCTAGGTGTGAAATGCTGTGCTGAGCACGGGGAATACACATTTCAAATAGAAACTAGATGGGAACACATGGACATTTCTGTAGCATAAAGACAACATAAACAAAGGGCAGGTTAGGGAGGGAGAGTGCAGACAGGTGTTGGGGGAAGAAGGCTGTGGCTGAGCTAAATCCTGAACGAACTGTGCTTCACTCCATACAGGGGGACTGGCACTGCAAAGGAAGAGGGGGATTCGAGTTAGTGCTTTGGGCGCACAACAGAGCGGTCTCTGGAGCAGGCCTGGAGATCGTGAAAGGCCAGTTAGTGAATAACGAGACTGGAAACAGAGGTTTAGGCCAGGTTGGAAGAGCTGTAAAAGCCAACCAGAAGTTTATAGCGTATCCTAAGGGCATCAGGGAGTTGCTGGATTTTATTAAGCAGGAAAATAACAGTTGGATTCGCCCAGAAGGAAAATCACTCCAAAAGCCATGTGGAGGGCTGATTAGAGTAGGCAGAGACTTGAGATGAGGAGACCGGTATGGCAGGAGTCCAGGCAGGAAATTACAATGGTCTGAACTACTGCAGTGGCCATGTGAGCACGAATACCAAAATGTCTATCAGAGAAAAGCCAAGCTCTGTCCACTGCATACATGAGGTGAGGGAGAATGAGGACGGAAGCATGGGAACCAGAGGAACGGACATGAGAAAAGGCAAGTTCTGTAGAAGGACTGGGTTTGAAAGGAAAAATAAGTTTCATCTTGGAAATAATAATAATAGCAGCAACATCTAGCACTCATATAGCATCTGCTATGGGCAGATGTCTGGACTGTACTAAGCACTTTCTAAGATTATCTCATTAGAGCCTCACAACAACCCTGGTAGGGAGGGGCTATTAGTCCCATTTCACAGTTGAGGAAAAGAGGCAAGCAGAGGTTGTCCAGAGTATCCACTAATATCTAAGGCTGGATTTGAACTGAGGTCTCCCTGACTCAAGCCCAGTACTGTAGCCACCAAGCCACCTACCTTTTTTGTCTGGAATGCCTATGGAATTTCTAGACCTCAAGGCCGCAGGTTCCCCACCTCTGGACTGAAATGTCTGTCTATACTACCTACCACCCACCCCTGGAAAGCAGCAAGAACCCCAACCTGGCACCAAAATTCAACAAAACTCCAACTGAACTCATTACAACTAGGTACTAATTACTGGGAGTCATGAATCCCCTCAAGGGGTTACATTAGTTGAAGTCATACTACACAGCTCTAGTGAGCTGGAATCAATTACCATTTTTACATTATTATAAATTCAAGAACTGCAAATTTGAATACACAGGACCACTTCAGGAGAGTCACTATTCTCAAGAAATCAGGACCTGGCTATATTTTAGCCCAAATTCTCCCTACTTTTCCTAACTTCCTTCTGACCATCCAGGCCATGATCATTCTCCCAGGCACCCAGGTAAACATTCTCACCCCACTCCCCCCACACCCAAACTGTTGCCAAGTCCTTCCCATGTCTTGTACCCGTCCCCTTCTTGCCTTGGCCACTGCCACCACCCTGGTGCACGAAATCCCCTCCTGTCGGAATTATTGCAATACCCTTTTGATTTGTCTCCCTGCTTACAACTTTCCTCATTGTAATCAATCACCACCTTCTTCACATTCTCTTCTCTCTAGGCTTTTGTTACCCTTCTCTCTCCTGACTCTCTTCCTACCTAACTGCTCCTTCTCAGTCTCCTCCGCTGGATCTCCATCCAGGCCACAAGGGCTAATTGTTGGGTGTCCCAAAGGGTTCTTTCCAGGACCGTCTCCTCCTTTTCTTCTGTGTTACTTGGTGATTTTATCAGCTTCTATAGATTCAATTACTGCTTGCTTATCCAGCCCTAACACACCTGCTAACCTCCAAACTCACATCTCCAGTTGCTGACTGGAATCTTGGATATTCCATAGACATCTTAAAATCAACATGTCCCAAACTGAACTCATTATCTTTCCCCCCAAAACCCTTCTTTCTTCCTACTTTGCCTATCACTGATTAGCCTCCTAGGCACTCAGGCTCACAAACTAGGTCAGTCACCCTTCCCTCTCCCTGCCACGACCATGGCCTATGGATTTTGCCTTCCATATACTTATCTGGTATGCCCCTTCTCTGACAAAGCCATCTCCCTGGTATGTGTCCTCATGAGCTCATCCTGGGACTACTGCTCCTCTTCCTGCTACAACAACATCAAATCCATCTTTCTAAAGCAGAGATCTGACCAGGGCACCATCCCTACCCTCCACTCAATAACTCCAGCAGCTTATCACCCCCGACCATAAAATCCCTACATCACCTGGTTTCCCTCTACCTTAAACCCTCCCAGGGAATGGGATCCAGCAATATTGAGTCCCTTACGCTTCCCTGAAGGTAAGTCCAGACTCCAGGCATTTTCCCTGGCTGTCTCTCACACCTGTTCAGCTATCTCTGCCTCCTAGCTTGGCTCTGAGTTGAAGACCCACATTGTACAAGGCTTTCCCAGTCCTTACCCCCAGTGCCTTTCCTCTAAGACTACCCCCAATTTATCCTACATATCATTTGTAGCCTACATGTCGTCTCCCTCATTAAACGGAGTCCTTCCTTATATCCCAGTGCTCAGCATGGTGTCTGGAACACAGCACATGCTTAATGCCAGCTGATGGACTGAACCTGCTCCCAAGCCTTGCCCACACATGCAGTGTCATCTTCTCTAGAACCTGCAAATAGATGGAAGAGAGCATGAAACTCAATTGAACTTTTTTTTCCTCCCAGGGATGTGAAGGGCCTCAGAACCGTGTTAGAATAACTATTTGGCCATTTATCAATCGGGGAATGGCTGAAAAAGTTGATTCCATATGATTATAACGGAGTACTACTGTGTTCTAAGAAATGATGACAGGGATGGTTTTAGAAAAACACTGGGACAAACTGCATGGTCTAATACAAAGTCAAGCGAGCAGAACACTGAACATAACAGCAACATTACATTGATCATCAACTGCAAAAAATTTACCCATCCCATTAAATATAATGATCCATAAGAATTCCAAAGGACTTATGATGAAAAATGCTATCCAATTCCAGGGAAAGCATATTTTTAATTTTTTCTTGTTTTTCTTCCCTACCAAGTAGCTAATATGGAAATGTTTTGCATGACTTCACACGTATAAACAAGCATTATATTTCCTGCCTTCTTAATGGAGGGGAGAGGATTTGGTACTGAAAAAAAATTTTTTTAAATGACCACTTGGGCACCAGTCTTTTTTTTCCACACACCACGTGTAGAACATTTATTTTGTTCCATTAGTAGGAACTTGAATAAAAAGTCTCTTTTACTTTGCTTTGTTACTAGGAAGTAAAACGTGCTATAACATCAAAGAGGTGGCCAATATAGTCCAAAGAATCCCTACAGTCCTTGTAAAACCAAAGTTTTTTTATGGGGGGAGGAACAAGGGTTTTTCCTCTGCAGTTTGTTCCAGGTCTAGTCGTAACATGAGGGCCTGGTCTTCCCCCTACTGCCTGCTTTTATTATTGGGTTAAAGGCTGAAGATGAAAAGCAAATCTTTTAAGGCCTGGCCACTAAAACTAGCAGAGGCCAAGTGACCTCAGAATTTCTGAGGCAGAGTTGTCTGCCAGAGAGTGGAGGGATAGGAAGCACATCAAGTCCCAGAAGATTCTCCCAGATCCACTGTTCAGTCTGGTCCTGTAGGGAGAAAACTGGGAAAGGAGTCTTCCGGGATGAAGAGGTTGATGTCCACATCTCTATGGGTTCCTCTGAAGCTCAGCAATCTTGGGCCACAGAAGTTGCAATGTCTGGGGATGCCTGGAGATAACAGGATACAAGCCTTGAGTCTAGCTGGGGAAGAAGACCCAACACAGGAAAGTCAAACAGTGACCCCTCCAAGAAAAGACATGCTCAAGAGCCAGTTCTAAGGTATGTAAACCAATGAAAATGCTATCCAAGGTCAGGATTAGCCAAGAGGCCTGACTTCACAGCACATGGGAGGACAGGAAAGAGGGGTCCCTCGGTACAAGCCGCCCCTCTGGGCAACTTCAGAAGGCTGGGTGCCATGGATCTTGGCGATGAAGGGAGGAGGGGAGGAAGAAAATAAGGGCCCAAGGAGGAGAGAGAAGGGGGGGAGAGGAGGTCCTTGCTTGCCGGACTCCCCATTGTGCTTCTTCAGGCTGGAAACGTGGGGCTCAAGTACACTCAGGCTGCCCACTGACTCAAGCCAGGTCAAGCAACAAAGCTATGGCTACCTGGACTGGGAGAGCAACCTCACAAAGCACTTACCTCTACATCAACAGCAAGGGGAGAAAAGGCAGGAGAAAGCATGGGAAGAACAAAGAGGAGGCAGAAGAGACAACAGGCCTCTCCCAGGTACTGCCTAAGAACAGGGGAGGAACAAGGGGAAAGTGACCCTAGGTCTCCAAGGATCCCAAGGTATCATCAACCCCTCTGAGGAAATATGACCTCCTGGAACCCCCTCTGCTCCCCACCAACCCCTCCTTGGGAAAGATGCAAACTACAAGTCTAGTCATAGCCTCAGGCCCCACCCTTCCAGCCCCAAGCTTTATGTTCTTTGGAGGATCCCTGGTTCAGGTTCTTAGCATTTCTTAGGCCCAGGGCACTGGACTGACCTAACAGGCTGTCAGAGACACAAGGTCCAGGTTGACTTTTTTCCTAATGTCATGACAGAGACACAGCATGGAGACCACCTCCACAGTTGCTGCCAGGCCTGCAGGGAAGGGGAAAAAAAAAGCAGAGATGTGGGGGAGGGCACCCCATATCCTGTCCCACAACAGGAGGGGGTGGGCTAGAGAAGCAATGCCCCCCCAACTCCCAAGTACAGAGATGGGGAGGGGCCCAGTACACTGCTTCTGCTAGTTCTGCTGGTGCTCATTCTCCTGCTCCTCATCCACGGGGAGGTTGGTCCTGTGGGTGTCCCGGTGTTGCCCTGGGTTCCCGCTCAGGGTCGACCGTCTGGGTCCTCAGAAAAGCAGCGCCACAGAAGGTCAATGCTCAGAGGAGCCTCAGGAGAGGAAAGGCAGGCAGAGGTGACATCCAGAAGACCTTCACCTGCAAAAGAGAGGGGGGCCCCCAAGGCAGAACCCTCCCTCACAACCCAAAGCCAAGAGCAGCAAAGGTGGCCAATCCCAGGCTCAGGGCCCCAGTCACCCCAAACCCAGGCCCAGGTTCCAAGGGCAGGAGGCCCCTACCTCTACCCCAGGGCCCCTAGCACAAAAGCCACCCACTCCTCTAACCTCAGGCTTATGCCCCAAGGGGAGTGGTCTCTCCCCTTCCACCCCAGTTGCTGCCCAACCCCTCCAAGCCCAAGCCCCAAGGACAGGACTTCCTCCCCCCAACCTCAGTCCAAGCCTGGAAGGTAGCCAAAACGGCCCAATCTTGTTCCCCTCTCCCCCCCTAGTCAAAGCAAGAGCTCAAAAGCTGTCAAAGGTGCCACCCCACCCCCCACCCTATGTTCAGGGCTCAAAGGCAGCCAAGATGGCTGCCCACCACCGCCTCCCAAGGCCCCAGGAGATGCTCCTTTTATATTCTAGGATATGGCTCATCCCAGGTTACTTGAACTCTGTTATTGTTGCTCTTACCACGTCCCTATCAGTCCCTATTAGCCATACTGGGGTTTGTCCTTTCCACTCCAAAGATCGCTCTCATTAGCAGAGACAAAAAAAGCAAATTAAAAAGGTGGCTTCTCCCCACCCTCAGTTATCATTATGCTAGCCCCCACAAGCAGAGGACCTTTTCCTTCTTTGGTCCTCCTCTTTCTTCCAACAGAACTTTTAAAACAACAGCACAACAATCCCCTAAAGCCCTTGGGTATTTCAAGCTTCCTCAGCTGCTCATTTGGCGCTTTCCTGCGGTTCATGCTTCCAAAACCACATAACACCTTTGAATCCAGACACTTTCCTCACCTTCTTGCTTCTGTGTTCTCTACAGGATTGTGAAAAATCGATATTGACTGGAGAATTCCCCATGCATCTATACTGCTCTCTTTAAGTCTGAGTTTTCATCTTTTCTTGCCAGAATCAGGCCACTGTTCTACCTTCCAGCCACACACCAACTGCCAGCTCCCCTGTATGTGATACCCTCGTTAGAAGATAAACTCCATGACAGCAGGGACTTTCTTGTATTTGTATCGCCATTGTTTAGCATGGCATCTGGTCCACTGTAAACACTTAATAAATGCTTATCCATTCCTTTTCAATCACAAGGATTTCTCCATATGGCTTCTGGGAGTTTCTTTAGAGCTTCCTTCCTGAGCGGACTTGCTGTGTCAAATTTTGGCCCATGGGGTCTTACTTACCCCTTCCTCTAAACCCTTTGGACAATGCTCTAGTAAAGCAGAGCACATCTGACTGTCCTGGCTTCCACCTCCTCCTCTAGTGATAGCTCGAATATCAAGTGTTCACTTCACTACAATACTTCCATTATTTTCAACCCAGCAACCAATCTGTCCTTCACTGATGACAATCAGATCTAAAATAAAATTCTTCCTCGTTCCTTCACTTTTGGAAGGATGAAATTATTGTTACAATAAAGTAAAAAAGGATTAACTACTCTGCTTTTGGCACAGTGAGAACTCCAGCACATGTCAGGAGAACTGGATTCCTCCATGGATCTTAAGACTGGCATCCATTTCCCAAACCCATCTCTTTCTCTTCAGGTAGCCTGCTGCATATTCTGACAACAAAATCAATTCTCTTTTGGTCTCCTCCGATGGCTACCTCATGTTCTCCACCTTTTCTCCTTCTGGTTCCTGGATTTCCTTATAGGAACATATATTCTTTTTTTTTTTTTTTGGTTAGGCAATGGGGTTAAATGACTTGCCCAGGGTCACACAGCTAGTAAGTGTTACATGTCTGAGGCCGAATTTGAACTCAGGTCCTCCTGAATCAAGGGCCAGTGCTCTATCCACTGTGCCACCTAGCTGCCCCGACGTATATTCTTAATAGACAATTTTCCTCTCTTTTTTCCCTAAATGCAAATGTTTATATTTTCTCTTTTTCAATTGCATGCAAATAATTTTCAATATTTGTTTTAAAAAAACTGAGTTCCAAATTCTCTCCCTCCCTTCCCCTCTTTTTGAAGGCAAGCAATTTGATCATAGATTTTACATGTGCAGTCATGCAACACATATTTCCACATTAGCCATGTTGCAAAAGAAAACAGACCAAAAAACCCCATGAAAATTAAGTTTAAAAAGCATGCTTTGATCTGCATTCAGACTCCATCAATTCTTTCTCTGGAGGTGGATAACATTTTTCATCATAAGTCTTTCAGAATTGTCTTGGATCACTGTATTCCTGAGACTAGCTAAGTCACTCACAGTTGGTCATTATATAATACTGCCATTACTGTATACCATGATCTCCTGGTTCTTCTCACCTCACTCTGCATCCGTTCATGTAAGTCTTCCCAGGTTTTTCTGAGAGCATCCTGCTCATTATTTCTTATACCACACTAGTATTCCATCCCAATCATACACCACAACTCACCAGCCATTCCCCACTTGATTACCAGGGATGGGGAACCTGTGGCTTTGATGACACGTGTGGCCCTCTACGTCCTCAGGTGGGGCCCTTTGACTGAATCCAAACTTCATAAAACAAATCCCCTCAATAAAAGGATTTGTTCTGTAAAACTTGGACTCAGTCAAAAGGCTGAACTTGAAGACCTAGAAGACTACATGTGGCCTTGAGGCCCGAAGGTTCCCCACCCCTGGTAACCTGTTAACTCTCTCCTGGTCTAATATTCCCTCCAACTCTGGCTCTCTCTTAAGAAGGCAGGATTACCCTTCAGTCATTATCTGTTGGATCATCATTCTTAAGTTCTGAGCAGACTTTATGAACCTAAAAAATTCCCAAATACTCTATGTACCAGGGAAGGGCTACGGCTTCCCACTGTGTTTTGTGGCTTGGTTTGATTTCTGATCCAATTTCAATAGGTCAGCAGCAGGGAGTGCTAGACTTGCCCACAGAAGCCTTAGGTCCAAGTCTAAGGTTTGCCTTTTATTAGCTGTGTAACTATACAAAAGTTATATAACTTCTATGGGCCTCAGTTTCCTCATTTATAAACTGAAGGGGTTGGACAGAATTACCTTTAAGGTCTCTTTCAGCTCTAAATCTATTATTCTACTAGTGCCTACTCTGAACAAGGCTCTGTGCTAGGCACTGGGACACAAAGAAGAAAAATTACATGAGGCCTGTCTCCAAGAAACTTATATTCTACTAGCAAGGACACAATATGAACACAAATAAATATGAGATAAGATAAGTAACGATGGCATCAAAGGAGATAGCCAATCAAAGTGTTCAAGGAAAAATTAAGGATAGAGTAGCTAGGTGGTATAGTGGATAGAGCACCGGACCTGGAATCACGAAGACCTGAGTTCAAATCCAGCCTCAGATACTTCCTAGCTGTGGGAAGCTGGGCGAGTCACTTAACCTCTGTCTGCTTCAGTTTCCTCAGCTGTAAAATGGGGATGACAAAAACCTACCCTCCCTTTCCCCACCTTGGAAAGGGCCAGAGGCAAGATGTTGTAGGGGAAAAAATGCTGGACTTAGAGTAAAAATCAAGCAAGTAATAATATGTAGGAGTTTGAATTCTGACTCTGAGACTTACTAGCTGTGTGGCTATAGGCCTCCATTTCTTTAGCTATAAAATGGGCATAACAGGACCTCAAGTCCTTATTTAATGTAAGGGAAAACTTGTCAATAATGAAACCTGTTCCCAGATGGAATGGACTTGCTCAGCATGGTCCAAGAGCTCAGCAGGCCATGGCTGAAGGGGCTGCAGGCCAGAGGCCTCAGAGGACAGGCACTGGAGGCAGACCTGCCTCAGACATGCTCTGAGAAGGTGCAGAAAACTCAATTCAGTTCATTTACTGCTCTCCCCCAGGACTGGCCCTGAAGAGCCAAGAAACCTGATGCATAAAGCCCTTATCTTTGTTACTCTGTTCTTTGGGAAGGAAAAATATGGTAGCTGCCATCCATTCAACATGTCTGCTCCTGGCCAGAGGGAATACTGCACAGGGTTGGGAGGAACTTCCAAAAGGAAAACTATCAAATTCACTTCCAAGGATCTGCAACTGGAGCAAATAAGCGTCTGCTGATTTAATTTCATTATTAGGTCATGATAAGTTAAGAAAACATGTTTTAGTTCCTGTGTTTAAAATCAAAATTTCCCCCCAAGTCTTTCAATGCATATTTTGTGGGGAAGGATCATTTGTGATGAACCAAAAATCAGTGTAGAATTTCTTGGCATTTCCCAAATGGTGCAAAAACGCAAGCATGATTTTTCTTTTCCTTTCTCATGTGCTTTCCTGACATGCTAAAAAATAGCCTGTGGTTGATATCGATTCCCAATTAAGAAAAGTTTGCCAGTTTATAAGGCACAAAGACACATTTTAACACAACTATTCTTTTAACTAAGCTTTTGTGTCAAATTCTGATATTACAGACGCAAATTCAGCAAAGGAGTCAACATCTGTGAAAAGCCTACTATGTGCAAAGAACCCTGTTAGATGCTAGAGAGAGAGATGAAAGATGACACATTTCCTAACTTCGAAGAGTATAGATTCTGATTAAGGGGAGGAAGGGAGAAGCCTCCCCATTTTGAGTTCACGTACTTTCTTGCCAACATATATATTACTCCTAAGAATGGCAGGTTTTAACCTCAGTGTAATCTCCTGAATTCTGCATTTCATTCATCAAATTGATATATAAAGGTAAGGTATGATATCAGGATAGAAAGAAAATAAGAGAGAGAAAGCACTAGAATTAAGAGGTGTTAGGGAAGGCTTCCAGTAAAAGATGGGAATTTAGTTGGGACTTAAAGGAAGTCAGGGAGGTTAATAGTCAGAGCAGAGGAGGGAAAGAGTTCCAGGTATAGGGGACAGCAGGAGAAAATGCCTGGAGCCAAGATATGGAGAATCTAGTTCATGAAACAGCCAGGAGGTTGGTGTCACTGGATTGAAGAGTACGTGTTGGGGAGTAAGATGCAAGAAGATGGGACACTGAAGCACGAAAGCATTATTGGGTACCCTCCCTCCAGGAATTATACA